GTTATCTTCGTAAGGAAGTGTCGTGCAAATTAAATGTTGATGTTCAAATGCGTAATGAAGATCGCTATTTAAAGGACCTGTTGCGGGCCGGCCCGGTGGCGCACTGGATAGTGCGCCGCTTGGGAAGCGCGGCGGCGCTCCTGCCCGAGGGTTCGGATCCCGCATACAGACCAGTTCCCCCTCACTGGCTGAGCGAGGCGTGGGAGCAACACCGAGGCTTGCAATCCCGTTGCCGGTCCCCGGTCCGGTACGGGGGCAACACTGAGGGTTGCGATCCGTTGCCGGACACGGAAAAAAGACAAAAGACAAAAAAAAAAAGGACCTGTTGGACAGTAAAGAATCTTTATCTGTTTAATAAGTATAGATATTTATATGCTAGATTCATTTAAAAGGAAGAGCACCTCAATGGTAAGATTCATTATTATTAATAGCATTGAAACATTTCATTCTTTCTCTACTCTTCCCACCTGTCTGCTGAAAAAACTGCTTTATCATATTTCTCTTCTCAAAAATGTCCCTTTAAGTATCTTTTTCAGGTGTCTGCTCCACCCTGGCATTAACGGCTTTCTATAATCTAGTCCTTTCTTTCTTAATTTACAAGTCCTGAAGCTATTAACATAGTGCTAGTTACATAATACAAACTTAAATCAAGCTCCTACATAAAGATCAAGGTTCCTGCCTGAGTTTTATATGCATTCCTATAAAATATTGTGACTTTATTTTATATGTCACTCTAATACTCGTATAGTTCCGTATAGGGCTTTTACTCTCTAGGAATGACAATGGAACATAAATAGAAGTAAAATTAGAACGTTCAGATATGTATACTATGAAATCCTTCCTTAAAAGTACATATTTTTGTACACATACAAGTTGTACATTGTTTTTTAAGCTTCTCTTTCTCCGGAATCTCATCTTATACTGAATTAGATAGTCTTTTGTAGAACACCTCAATTGAACAAAGATGAATAAGAGAATGAAGATGGGAAGTGGATTGGGTTTGAATGCAGAAAGTTTGGGGGGTCTTAACAGGTCCAAGGGACACTGGGAACTTTGAAGAGCCATCATCCTCAGATAGAAGAATTTTAGAATATAACATAGTGATAGAAGCAGTTGACTGGTTGCCTGGAAAGGAAGGGGAAGGATGCAAAGGAGCATGAGGGAGCTTTCTAGGGAGGTGGAAATGTTTCTTGATTGGGGTGGTGGTTACACAGATATAGGTACATTGGTTAAAAGTCAGCAAACTGTACATTTAAAATCTGTGCTTTACCTCAAAGTTGACTTTTTTTAGAGTGGTGAAGAAAAGGATAAAAGCTAAAAGAAATTCTTGACAATATTATGTTAAATTATTTAAAAGAGAAACGTTTGTTTGTATTAAGTTGTCTTCATCTGTCTCTGCCATTAATTTACCAGACAAACATGCTTTTAAAGGTTTTTTTCTTTGCAGGCAGTTAGTTGTCTTTGGACAATGAGTAACTTTGAATTTACATTTTTAGTTATTTGGGCCAAGAAAGTATTGTATTAAGCACTGTATTTTAATATTACTGACCTGATTTGGAGAACTAATAATTTCAAATTGCTGGTTTAATTTTTTAAATCATTTAAACCAAAATGTCTTTGTTTTGAATTTTCAGAATTGGTTTTATGCCCTGGAATATTGAAACAGAAGTTCTTCCTCTAATTTCTTCTGTGTTGCCGAGAACTATTTTTCCAACAAGTACCATATCTTTAGAAAATTTTGGTAAAGTTTGTGAAATGTTTTTCTCTTTTCTTAAATTATTATTAGCTTCTTCCAGTTTCATAAAGATGAGTGTTGATGACTTAGAAAAGCTGTATAGTAAGGTATAGTAACTTCTAGATATTTCTGTAAATATTTGGACAGTGACTTGACTTTAAAATCGTTCCAACTGGAGTACATAAACCTAATAGAATACTATTCAGCCACAAAAATAGAAGGAATTCCTGTCGTTTGTGACAACATGGATGAACCTGGAGGACATTAAGCTAAGTGAAATAAGCTAGGCACAGAAAGACAAATACTGCATGATTGCACTCATGTGGAATCTTCCAAAGTTGGTATCATAGAACTAGAGAGTAGAATGGGGGTTACCAGAGGCTGGGCAAGGGGAAGTTTGGGGAGATTTTGGTTAAAGGATATAAAATTTTGGTTAGATAGAAGGAATAAGTTCAAGAGATCTACTGTACAACATGGTGACTATATTTAATGATACAGGTTAGATAGAAGGAATAAGTTCAAGAGATCTACTGTACAACATGGTGACTATATTTAATGAGAAATTAAATTTCTTGAGAAATGTTAAGAAAGTGGATGTATAGTGTTCTCCGAAAATAACTATGTGAGGTAATGCATATGTTAATTAGCTAGGTTTGTCATTCACAATGTATATAGATATTTAAAAATACCATGTTGTACATAGTCAATACAATTTTATCTGTCAATTAAAAAAATAAATTTAAAAAATCATTCCAACTATAAAAAATTTATTTTACAAGTTTAAAAAATTATAACTTAAAGGCTTTGAGGAACTGATTAGAAGTCTCCTTTCAGTTTAGGGCTTTAGTGTCCAAACCATAGATCTTAAGTACAATCTGTTAATTAACTATGAACAAATAGTTTGAATCTTTATCTATTTGTGGATAGCTTGACAGTTTTTCTCTTCTTTTGCCTAGATAACACCAGTTCATGAAACACATACCAGTTACCAGACCAAACATATTTTCCTTCTTTTCCCTGTAAGATTACCCACATGGATCCAAATCCATTCATAACTTATTTCAGTATCATTTAAAAAAGCTGATGAGCACTCATATTACTCAGACATTAATAGCCATGCATTTATTTATAATTTGATTCATAAGTATTTTGTTTCACTTTATTACCAACTCTGTGCTAAAATTAGCTAAAGCCAAAATACTATTATTTCTTGAAACACATTTTTTTTTTTTACCTTTTAAAAAAATATTATTAGGTACTTCTTGCAAGGAATATGCATTAGCACATACCCAAGAAGGAGAAGAAAAGCAGCAAACTTCTGGTACATCAAATACTAGAGGATCAAGACGAAAACCTGCAGCAACAACTCCTACAAGGAGATCTACACGTAACACGAGAGCTGAAACAGTCAATCAGTCCCAGAGATCTCTGGTATCAAATAATTCTGGGTGTGATGCCCCAGGTAACAATAATCCAAAAGTGAGTGTTTCCTCTTCAGCTGAGTCACAAAAGCAAACAAAACAGCCTCCAAAACGGAAGTCTGTAAGAAGAGGAAGAAAACCACCTTTACTGAAAAAGAAACTTCGGAGCTCTGTCCCTCCCCCGGAAAAATCATCTTCCAGTGATTCAGTAGATGAAGAAACAGCGGAATCTGACACACCACCTGTTTTAGAGAAAGAGCACCAATCAGATATAGCATGTAGTAACACTTGCACTGTGGAAACAGATGTAGAAAACCAGTCTGCTAATTACTCAAAAAGTGGCAATCAGCAAATAGAAGAAAGGGGGGAACATACTGAGAGTCATGATATAGAGGAAAGTGTAGAATTTTCTTATTTTGAGTCTTGTACTCAAGATACTCCTGTGCTAGTCGGAGAGGAGGAGGAAATTCAAAAACTTGAGAATACAAGTATAGAGGCTAAAGTTTTGTGTTTAGAATGTGATATTTCTAGAAATATTTTTGAAAAAATAGATGATCCATTGGAAAATCAAGACCAGATACTTGGACCTTCAGAATCAGAGGTAAAGGCAGATATATGTACAGATCATCCTCCAAATGATTTTCTTACATGTTCAGCATCTGAAATGGAAGTACACCAACCTGTTTCTAGTCCCACTGGTGAGTTACCTGAGAATGCAGTGTCAGTGGTTAATGAAGAAAAAATGATAGAGAGTCTCAGAGTAGAAATTACTGATCATAAAGATTCTACAGTAAAAACTGAAGAGCATGTAGAGAGTCCCAAGTTAGAATCTTCTAAGGGTGAAATTATACAAACAATGGACAAAATATCTATTGAGAGCTCAGAGATTCAATTGTTTGGGCATGTTGAAACTGAAGATGCAGAAATAATTGCAGCGTGTGATACTTCAGAGAATGAAAATTTCAGTAGTATTCAAGACTCTGAAAATAATTTATTAAAAAATAATCTTCCTCATACCACCAAGTTGGACAAATCTTTAGAAGGAAAGACTGAATCTCTGGATCCCAGATCTACAGAGTTGCCTAACACACACATTGAACAGATTCAGAAGCATTTTAGTGAGGACAATAATGAAATGATACCTATGGAATGTGATTCATTTTGCAGTGACCAAAATGAATCTGAAATTGAAGCATCTGTAAGTGCAGATTCTAAACAATTGAATGAAAATTCTGTGGCACACAGTTCTGAAAATAATATGCTGTCTTCTGATTCTGCAAATGAAAAGGTTGAAACTATATCTCAACCATCTGAAAGCCCAATAGATATAATAGATAAAGCCAAAAAGCCTCGTACTCGAAGATCTAGATTTCATTCCCCATCTACAACATGGTCTCCCAACAAAGACACTGTGCAAGAAAAGAAGCGATCTCAGTCTCCATCTCCCAAAAGAGAAACTGGAAAAGAAAGCAGGAGGTCTCGATCACCGTCTCCTAAGAAGGAATCTGCCAGAGGACGGAGAAAATCTCGTTCTCAGTCCCCAAAAAAAGATATTGCAAGGGAAAGGAGGCGATCTCAGTCTCGGTCTCCAAAAAGAGATAGTACTAGGGATGGCAAAAGATCTGAATCACTGTCCCCAAGAAGAGATACTTCTACAGAGAACAGAAGATCTCAGTCAAGATTGAAAGACTCCTCCCCAAGAGAAAAATCCAGGTCCCGGAGCAGAGAAAGAGAAAGTGATAGAGATGGGCAGAGGAGAGATAGAGATAGGGAAAGGAGAACCAGAAGGTGGTCTAGGTCTAGATCTCGTTCTAGGTCACCCTCAAGATCTAGAACAAAAAGTAAGAGTTCATCGTTTGGTAGAAATGACAGAGATAGTTACTCTCCCCGGTGGAAGGAAAGATGGACAAGTGATGGTTGGAGATGTCCACGAGGAAATGATCGGTACAGAAAGAGTGACCCAGAGAAACAGAATGAAAATACAAGAAAACAAAAAAGTGACGTCAGTTCAGTTGCTGACGATCCAAATTCTTCTGACAAACATAGAAATGACTGTCCCAATTGGGTAACAGAAAAAATAAATTCTGGGCCTGATCCAAGGACCAGAAATCCAGAAAAGGTAAAAGATTCACACTGGGAAGAAAATAAAAATGAAAATTCAGGGAATTCTTGGAATAAAAACTTTGGTTCGGGTTGGGTGTCTAACCGTGGTAGAGGTAATCGTGGCAGAGGCACTTACAAAGGTAGTTTTGCCTATACAGATCAGAATGAAAACAGGTGGCAAAACCGAAAACCCCTCTCAGGGAATTCAAATAGTTCAGGGAATGAGTCTTTCAAATTTGTGGAACAGCAACCATATAAGCGGAAAAGTGAGCAAGAGTTCTCATTTGATACACCAGCAGATAGATCTGGGTGGACATCTGCATCTAGTTGGGCTGTGAGAAAGACTCTGCCAGCAGATGTGCAAAACTATTATTCACGACGAGGGAGGAATTCTTCAGGTCCACAGTCTGGATGGATGAGACAAGAAGAGGAAACAACTGAACAGGGTAACCTATTCTTTGTTTGTTTATTGATGCTCTTTTATTTGAAGAAAGAGGTTATAAATTTAGTATCTTATTTGTATGGGTTGAAATGATCCTTACTTGTAATTTTTATGTTGAACTGAAACCCAGTTGTTTACAAGTCACTTTGCATTGTATAAATATATATACACATGTATATGTAAGTCAGTATTATTTTTTTTTAGCCCTATTCCTGCTCTAAACCATGCCAAAGATAAATATTTTATGTACTGTTTGCTGTAATAGAAGAGTTTGGGATGGTCCTATGCAGGATTTATCTTCTATTTCATTATTTCAGATGTGTGCACTTGAATTTTTTTGGCCATCGTTCTTGTACAGATAAGTCACTCTTCTAATAATAGAGATTTATCTTTCCTTGGTTTTTCTTGTTAAGAACATTGCAAGAAAAAAAGCTGTTGAAGATTTTTTTTTTTAAAATTGTTTAACCTTACTCGTAATTGAGAACTGAATTTTATATGATTATTTTTTAACTAGTCACTAAGTTTCTTAAGCTACCAGTTCTTTGCTAATGTTGATGTATGTTATTATGTGAACATATTCTTAAAAGTAATTTTAGTTGAATGTCATCTTTTAGTTAGAAAAGCAGTTACGTGTTATTTAGAAATGACAGGATTAAACTAAATAATTAGAGATTGGTTTTGGTGTACTGAGTCTATTAATTGCTATTTAATTTTACTATAACCAGTTGTTCTTTGCTTCTCTGTATAAAGAGATTTGTAATATGATTTTTTTCACAAACCTTTTTTTCTTTTGATAGATTCTAACCTAAAAGACCAAACAAACCAACAAGTTGATGGTTCTCAGCTACCTATAAATATGATGCAACCACAAATGAATGTAATGCAGCAACAAATGAATACACAACACCAGCCTATGAATATCTTCCCATATCCAGTGGGTGTTCATGCTTCTTTGATGAACATCCAACGCAATCCATTTAACATTCATCCTCAGCTACCCTTGCATCTCCACACAGGAGTGCCTCTTATGCAGGTTGCTGCTCCTACCAGTGTATCTCAGGGACTACCACCACCACCACCCCCTCCCCCGCCATCCCAACAAGTCAACTACATTGCTTCACAACCAGATGGAAAGCAGTTGCAGGTATGTTTTTAGCAACTCAAGTTTAATGAACGTAGCCATTGTAAACTATTAGGGTGCAAGGTTCAGAAAAGGGCTTCTTGGCATCCAAAAACAATTGTTTGATTATATTTATGATAAGCTTTTGTAATTTCTTTTTCACCATCCTTCTGCAAACCCTCCAACCCCCACATAAGAACATTAACTAAATACATATTATCACATCCAAGCTACAAATATGTTATTACTTATATCCAAACAGGTTTTTTGTCAGATTAAGAAGGCCAAATTATGAGCCAAACTAGAATCAGGTGGCAGGGGCTTTAAGTTTTTACCCTATTTTATTGGACTTTTGGGGCAAGGTAGTGGTGGTGGTGGGAACTAGTGATTAAGTACTGTGATGAAGCTTGTCTTGTCTTGTTCTGACAGACGCTGGATAAAGCTGTTCACTATTCATTACCATTTGTGTTTCATTTTCATGAATTTACCATGCTAAAAAGAAAGAAGTGCTTCTGTGAGACACACAAAATTGAATAATTTGCAAACTTTATGTTGCTTATACTTTTATGTCTGCCTTTCAGAAATTCTAGAATCCTGACAGTAAGATGTAGTTGTAAGAGCAGGGGAATGGGATTTTAGAAATTGGGATCTTATTTCTGTTTCCTGCTATCAACTCACTGCAAGCCATTTGACTTCACTACCTTATTTTCTTCAGTCTTTAAAGTTGAGGTACTTACCTTAGTTAATATTCCTAAAGAGCCTTTCAGGAAAGATACGTTGTTTAAATACTATTCTCCTCGTTTTTAGTGTTGCTGTTAGAACATTACAATATACATACATAATTTAAAAGTCATCTAGACATATTTAAGTAAGACTCTATAAGAATGTTATTCAGTTTTCTTTAAACAGCCGTTTAGATAATGACCTGAAATATGCATTTCTCTTAAGTACATTAATTCACTTTGTTTTTTCAATGTTATTTCTAATAGGTGACTAAAAAACTTACTATTGAGTACAAGTAATTTATTAACTGATGATAACTCTTTAAAACAGGGTATTCCTAGTGCTTCTCATGTAAGTAGTAACATGAGTACACCAGTCTTACCTGCTCCGACAGCAGCCCCGGGAAATATGGGAACAGTTCAGGGACCAAGTTCTGGTAATACTTCATCATCAAGTCACAGCAAAGCCTCTAATGCTGCTGTTAAATTGGCAGAAAGCAAAGTAAGTGTTACAGTGGAAGCCAGCGCAGATAGCTCGAAGACAGACAAGGCAAGTTCAAGGTTGAGAGCAACCTACATAATTCTGTATATCATAAAGATGAAAAAATATCAGCTTTCTATTGTATGAGTGGTAAAGAGAATTTATTATGGATAGTCTTAAATTTTAATATTATTTGAAGAGTTCTATCTAGATGTGTTGATGCTTAATGAATTACTGATAATATTTTATAATTATTTTTAGAAATGTTTATGTGAGTAAATTGTATTTGTCACAGTATTTGAAGAGTTCCTTGTAATCATATAAATGTACAGTATTTTCAGTTTTATATTTTTAAAGAATTTTTTTTTAAGTATGTGAGTGGCAAATAATATACATTTTCTTCTCACCAGAAATTGCAAATTCAAGAAAAAGCAGCACAGGAGGTAAAATTGGCCATTAAGCCATTTTACCAAAACAAAGATATCACCAAGGAAGAATATAAAGAGATTGTACGGAAAGCAGTAGATAAAGTAAGTTATATCTTTAGTGGAGTTACATGCATATCGTTTTGTACCTCTTCTATTTTAATAAAGGAATACTTAGATTTAATTAAAATAATAAGAGCTAGCTCCTATTAATTCTTACCTGCTTTTTTACCCTTTAAGTAAGTTTGTTTGAGGTGTGAAATATGAAAATAAGTCTGGTGGTCTCTTTGGGGTTGTTTTTCACAAAGCTTTCTATTTTGCTTTAATCCCTTTAAGCATGAAAAAAGTTTTACCCCCCTTTTTTCTTAGGTTTGTCATAGTAAGAGTGGAGAAGTAAATTCTACTAAAGTGGCAAATCTGGTTAAAGCCTATGTAGACAAATACAAATATTCACGGAAGGGGAGCCAAAAGAAAACTCTGGAAGAACCTGTGTCTACTGAAAAAAACATAGGCTGAAATGGGGAGCGCTATAAAAGGACATTATCAAGATATCTGCAAAGTGCAATTTCAACATGTACCATTAAACTGAAAATCATGCATAACTGTGATTGAAATTTGGTTTTGATAAAATTATTTTTTTTAATGTAGGGTATAATGTTTTGTTCTAAATAAATATAGTTCTGCACTGCAACTTCTATAATCTCTCCCCCTCCCCCAATAAAGCAAATTTAAGGGAAAGTAAAGGGTTTAAAAGAGTGTGCATTTTTAGTAGGACTGTCTTATAGTGTGGATACTGGAACATGCACAGCTTTTTGGTTGAAACAATGGAGTGCATAAATTAGAAACTTCTAAGTGCACTGGTTTGGGAAGATATATATATAATACATTTATTCTGCCAGGCTAAAACATAAAGTATGCTCTTTATGATTTTTCCTTCTAATTATAGAAAGTTAAATAATGTATGACCATGAAAAATATTTCTAATATTAAATAGAACATACCAATTGCAGGGTTCCTAATGTGTATTTTTAAAGCACATATCAATAAATTGCTTAGATAGAAAACGTTATCATGAGGAAAATTTAGAGTTCAAAACTTTGAGACACTCTTCACCTGTTGTAATCTCCAAATAAAGGTTGTGCTGCTTGTTTTTCTATTGTGCTTTTTTTCCCCCCAGTTGAGACGAAGCAGTTTGATTAACTGTACTTACAACTATGGCAATTCAAAGTCTTTGTTGAATTTAGAAGACCATTTTGGAAAAAGCGTTGACATAGAAATTATGTTCTTTTATAATATCTTCTACCTATCAGAGATGATAAATTATTTGTGCCAACTGGAGAATTGCTAAGTGGTAACCTTCCCTTCCTTGGGACTAAGGTAGCATTGTACGACTCACTTCACTGGCTTAAGGCTGTTGCTCATCTGTCTAATCACTAATGAAATTCTTTTCATACTTGAGTAATCCCCAAATGCTTTACAATGCATAAGGTGTTAATTTGGTGACCATGTGGTGGCCATTAGCCGTGTTGCAAAATTCTAGTCTGTGTTTTGGAAAGGGAGAGGAAATAATGAAGTCTTGGTTAGGCTTTTGGGGACTAGGGATTTGGTTACTTTTTAATGTACTAGAATGTTAATTTTTATAAAAGGTAAGTTTAAAGTATTTATGGCGCTATTATTTTAATTGATGTCTTGAAAGAAAAATGGGTTCTTTCCATAATAAACTGTCTTTCATTCCAGTAACAATCTTCAGTAGATACCAAATAACTAGAAAACTATTCAGATAAGATGTTAATAGATCCATGGTAGATATATGCCTCAGTGAGACAAACCGGCCCACTTACTAGCTAAACTATTTAGCGAAAGCAATACTCTGTAGGAATGTGCTTTCTAAAGTAAAGATTGTTTCTAAATTTTATGTGCATAATACTTTCCTGGTGCTAGCTTTGATAGGCAAAATATTTTGAAATGTTGGCCCCCGTAATGATTTTGCTAGTATAAGTTTTGTTAGGTTATGAGTATAATCCTACAAATATTTCCAAGCAGTTTTTGATCTTCATTCTACATTTCTGGGCATTTGTAATATGGCATTCTACTGACATATATATTTTTAATTCAAGTTTGTGTTTAGAATATGTTGAAAAAAAAAGTTTGGAAGTATATTTCTTCTAAAGTAATATTAAGAGTGTATTTCAAACATCAAAGCATACCTCCTCAGTCATTTCAGTTTAGATCTCTAGAAACAATTGTGTGAACTTTCAATCTATTTTGAGTTAAGGCTGTATGACACTTGGAAAATTTTGTAGCAAATTGCTATGCCTAAGCTGATTAATCACACAGTGCATACTTTTCCTGCATTTCCTTTCAGTGACATTTGGAAATTGGGTGATATTTTAAAATTTGCTTTATACCATTTAACTTTTGCAAACAAGTTTTAAAGTCAAGAAAAACTAGATGGTGTGGTCAAAAGTTAAAGTCTCATCTTTGGTAGAACTCCCATAAATTATTTTCACTTTTCTTGAAAATAACAAGTGTGTGGTCGCTATCTGATTAGGGCACTGGTTAGACTACATTTAAAATAGCTAATGAAGAACGTTACTGGATTAGAATTGAAACTTTTTAAACTTTGAGATATTTAAGAATGTATTAGAAAATGCATGCTTTATGTTAAAAAAAATATTGCTTTAACATCCCCCATTGGTTTTTTCAAAAATTCACATTAATTTTTCATGTGCACAAACTTAATCAAAAACATTTTGTGGGGTTACAGATTTCTCTTGTTATTTATCAAGATTCAGTATTGAGTTGACCTTTGAAACCTTGGTCCCTTTAATGTACTAGTCACATTGACCAATGTTTTAGGCCTAGAATTTTGAGACTAACAGTCATCGATAATTTTAACATTCCAAAAGTTTTGTGTTTTTTTTTGCGGGGGTGGGGGGTTCTGGTAATTACCACATTTTCTCCATTACCTTCCTTTAAATGGCCATAGTGTATATACTGTTTGAATGTTCCATCCAAAAGATGCAGCTTCAGAAGCACAGTGGTTGCCCCAGGGTCCATGAGACATTGTTTGTAGTATGAGGTTGGAGTGCTGTCTACTGAAATAATACTCTTAAACAAATATGTAGTGTGTAATATTTCCTAATAAATTCTTTTGATAAACAAAGCGTAGTGTCTTTAACATTTTATTACTAGGGTTCCTGGGAAATGGTGACGTTTACTTCATAACTCTTTCCAAACTATGTTGGAGTATTTCTTGGATTTGTACTAGTCATTAGCATCATGGTTACATTAAAGTCCAAGCTAGAAAACAAAGAATTAGCTATAAGCATATATTTTTAATACTATTTTTTCTAATTACTTAATCATTGTAGGAAATTAGGAAAACGTTAGTAAACAAGATTTGTAACAGAGGGAAGAGACTGAAAAACAAAAGGAGAAAAATCACCTGTGATCCTACCATTTAAAACTAACAACTTTTAACACTGACGAAACTGCATATGACTACGTCGTAACCTGTCCTTTTCACTTCATGATGTATTGAGGATTCTCCATTTTAATAAAAATTATTCTACAGCATGATTTTTTTAATGGCTGTATAGATTTTATTACACAGATGTATCATTAAAACAATCCTCTACTGTTGGACATTAAGTTGTTTTTACAAATATAAATAAGTAAATTAGTAAAATATAAATCTTATTAATATAAATAAGACTGATGTAAACATCTTTATACTTATTTATACATCTTTGTAATTATTTCAGATGTGGTCTTGGAATTAATGTCTAGAAGTAAGATATCTTGGTCAATCAGTTATTTTTCCATAAAATTTTTTGAAACGTGATTATTTACACCTTAATTTATTCTTTTAAAAATTCAGTTATATATGGTATAAAATGTCTTTACTTTCTTAAGGAGATTTTTCTGTCCAAAAAGAACCACCAGAAAGTTCTGTGTCTTTCCAGAGTCTTCAGTGCATTTACAAAAATATTTTTTGAAGGTTCTAGGAAAATAGGTTTCACAGATATTTTTCCCCAGCATGTGAATTATAATCTCTTAAATTGTTTTGCATCTCTAGTTCCCTTAATAAATTGAAGATATGTTCTTATGTCAGTACATAAAAATGTGCCATGTTCTTTATAATGGCTACATCGTGTTCCTCAGTTGGTGGACATTTAAGTTATGTGCAGGTTTTGGCTGTTAGAAACAATGCTTTAATGAACACCCTTTGTAACATCTCTAGGAACTCCTGTTTTTGTGTACTAGGTTACACTGAATTTCAGGATATGCACATTTTAAATTTGAGTAAATATTGCTAAATTGCTCTTTGAAAGGATTGTATTAATTTATAGTCCTACCACGTGCCTGAGCTTATAGTCTACCTTTAGTTCCACCTTTGATTATTGTGACTGAGCATATAAGATTAGTTATTGTTCCTAAGGTCATATTGGACATTCAGTGAACAACTATTTCAGGAATTCTTAGATTCTTCACATGTATTGTCAGGTTTAATTTTACCACAATACTCTAAAAGAATAGTACAGTAATAGCATATTTATTAAGCTTTTGGTATGTAGTGGGCACTCTGTCAGACATTTCATATGTTACCTAATTTAATTTATAAAACCAACTCTAGGGCCAAGCCCGTGGCACACTAGGGAGAGTGCAGCGCTGGGAGCGCAGCAGCGCTCCCGCTGCGGGTTCGGATCCTATATAGGGATGGCTGGTGCGCTCACTGGCTGAGCGCGGTGTGGCCGGTCTCAAAAAGGACAAAAAAGACCCAACTCTAGTAATTATCTTTGATGAGAAAATTGAGATGCATAAAGTATTAACTGAGTTATCTAATTGCATGGCTGCTTAGTGGTGGGGCCATGATTCAAATCTAGGATTGGTAGACATCAAAGTACATGCTTGACATCCATTGAATTCACATATGTATACATTTATTTAGTAACATGGGAGTAGTGACTGATGATAGAGAAGCGTATAGAAGAGAATGCAGTTCACTTTGCATGGGGGAGGAAGGGCTATTTATTGTATGTCTAACCAGGCTCCTCAATTTTGACTTATTTAATGGCACTCCCATGTTTCCTATCTTGGAGATATTAAACCTTTACTTTTTTTTTTTTTTTTTTTTTTTTTTTTTTTTTTTTTTTTTTTTTTTTTCCGTGTCCGGCAACGGATCGCAACCCTCAGTGTTGCCCCCGTACTGGACCGGGGACCAGCAACGGGATCGCAAACCTTGGTGCAGCTCCCGCGCCTCGCTCAGCCAGTGAGCGGGAACCGGTCTGTATGTGGGATCCGAACCCTCGGGCGGGAGCGCCGCCGTGCTTCCCAAGCGGCGCACTATCCAGTGCGCCACCGGGCCGGCCCCTAAACCTTTACTTTTGAAGCCATTTTTAATGAATTCCTTGCTCTTTCTCACCCTGTTTCCATTCTCAAAAAATTGCTGTTTCTTCTGCCTTAACAGAAGAAACTTTACTGTTTCTTTACTGCCTTTCCTTTGCAGTAAAATCCAGCTTCAGTTCCCAGCCGTGTTACCATTTGACCTCTTCTAATAGTGTAGCATTACTTAGATTCTATACACACCAGTTCGTACTAGACACTACACACCCATCATCAGATAGCACAGTTTTGGTCATGTTATTGTAGTCATTTATTCAGCATAGTGCCAGTTGTGTATGTTAACATACTAGAGAACAGTAAAAACAGTATCATCACGGAGCTATATAATATGATGGGAAAAACAGGTACATATTATATAATTGTTATGGTGCAAAGGGGAGGATAACAGGATGCTCCAAGTTCCTGATGGGTTAATAAGACCTAAGAGTGATCAGGAAGGGCCTTTCAGTGGGAGAGGTGACACTTCAGCTAAGAGCTAGAAGGTAAGTAGGCAGGGAAAAAAGGATGAGCTGGCAGAGGGAATAGCAGGTACAAAAGCAAGTCTCTGGCCAGAGAGAATGGCTGCCCTAAGCCCAGAATGGCTGTAATGAAGATTAGTGGAGAGTGTTTTCAGGCAATAATACATCATGCAAGGAAAAGCTGCTAAGCGGGAGGTGTTCTATATGATCAGATTTGCATTTTGAAAAGATTTCTCAGTTTTTCAGTGGCTCAATAAAAGTAGTTAAAATATGAAGTGATCAACCTCACAAGTCAAACAATTCTTTGAATTTTGTCAAACTAGGCTGTCCAGTTAGCTCAGTTGTCTGGAGCATGGTGCTGCTAACGCCAAGGTCAAGGGTTTGAATCCCCATACCAGTCAACCACCAGAAAATCCCCCAAATTTTATCAAACTGATAAAAAAAAAATTGCAGTCTTCATGAGAGTGCCAGGACTAAACAGTACTGGTGGGGATGCAAATTCAGTCTTTCTGAAGGGCAATTTTGAAAATCTGTACAAAGAGCTTTAAAAGGGTCATATACTCTTTGAGTAACGATATCAATATCCTGGCCCACATATTACTCCAGTATTAGTGGAAAATTGGAGGGGGATGGGTAAAATGAACTATGTTTCATTCATGTGTGGGTATTTTGCAGCTATGTTAAATGTTTGCAGGGGCAAAAAAGTGAGAATGTGCCTACTGTAACATTAAATGGAGAAAAAATAGGACATAAAACTATACAATATCTTAACTTTCTTTAAAAAATGTAAAAGACCAAAAATACAAAGTATTAAAAGTTCTTTCTGGGTAATAGAGGATTTTTTTCCTTTATGCTTTTCTCTCTCTTCCAAATTTCCTACAGAGAACAAAACTTGTACGATCTGAAAACAGAACAAACCTCTTAAAAATTGCAGGCTTCATTGCTTGGGGTGTGAGGGTGGGAGAATGGGCTGGAGGCTTTGTTGTAGACTGGAGAGCAGGCGACTTCCCGCTCCGGAACTGGCCCTAGTTCTCAGCATGCTGGCTGCAATGTGTGTCTGATGGTTCCCCACACTCAGTTCCCCAGGGAGGAGCTTGGCCTCTTCTAGCAAGTGATGGGTGCTAGTCTGTAACTGGCCTTGTGAGCTGAGAAACCCTTTTAGTCATAAGGGAAGTGGGCTTCCCAAACCATAACTAGTTTGAGCATACTCTTCCCCCTAAATCCTGTGAGGACTAGAGAAGATAATCCGTTTCTGATGGTAAGTTAGGGGTCTTGGCTTTAAAGCTCAGAGAGAGCTAGGGCCCAACTTTGTGACCTTGAGTATGTTACCTCTGAGCCTTGGTTGCCTATGAAGGGTGTTGCCTACCTCCCTTGCAGGATTGCTGTGAAGATTGAGAGAAGAGACGTGACTATCTTGAAATTTCCTCCATACTTGTGATTCTACCTGCCTATATAATCAGGACTGCTTTTCTCACTGCCTCCCCTTGGACAGTGATGGAAATGCAACTAACTTGTCTAGTGGTTTGAAATCTAGCTGCAGTTTAGGGCCATATAGAGAGCTTTTTAAAAAGGCAATGCACAGGTTCACCCTAGACCAATTAAATCTGTCTCTGAGAATGGGATATTTTAACATCTCCCTAGGTGGAGTCTAATGTGCAGCCAAGGAGCAAACCACTGTGTTCACTTTTTAGATCATCTGCAGATCACAGCTTTTCTGTTAGAACAACATAATTAATTATGTCACAGCTTGTGTTCAAACCATTTGGCTGGCCGGTTAGCTCAGTTGGTTAGAGCACAGCCTTGTATAAACCAAGGTCAAGGGCTCGGTTCCCCATACCAGCCAGCTGAAAAATAAAAAATTCGTATTCTGTCTCCACTCTCAGAAACAGCAGCAGCACCTTGATAGTTTGCACACACACACACACACACACACACACACACACACACACACACACACACACACACCCTTTTCAACATTGTTTTCAAATTTGAATCTGCTAAGCACAAACTACATTGTAAATATAGCACCTTTGTAGACGATATCAGACATTTTCAGTGTTCACACAGTAGTTGATGGTGCAGTCAAACTCTTGTAGGAATTCAGTCATTGGTAAGGTTAGGATGTGTATGCTTAATTCAACAAGTTTTTTACACACTTGCCTAAAGTAATTTTAACTTCTAAAATTATCATTGTAGCATTTCTTTTTTATAAATCATTTATGGAAATCTTTTTCTTTTACACTTGAATAGCTGATAGCATGTTTTTAGCTCCAGCATTTAGAGTCAGTCTTGATTACTA